TGTTACCCAGGCTGGAGTGCAATGGCATGATCTCGGCTCACCGCAACCTCCGCCTCCCGGGTTCAGGCAATTCTCCTGCCTCAGCCTCCTGAGTAGCTGGGATTACAGGCACGCGCCACCATGCCCAGCTAATTTTTTGTAGCTTTAGTAGAGACGGGGTTTCACCATGTTGACCAGGATGGTCTCGATCTCTTGACCTCGTGATCCACCCGCCTCGGCCTCCCACAGTGCTGGGATTACAGGCTTGAGCCACCGCGCCCGGCTATTTTACTTCTGTTATGCATTTTTCTTCTAAGTTTAAAAGCATGCATGAAGCTGACCCTGAATTTATCTTGCCCAGAGGAATCCAAGTGGAGACATATTCTTGAATGCAATTATCTAATTCAGTTCATATTGTCACCTTTGTTAGGGAGGGTAGAATCTCTGGAGGCTTGAAAGCAAAGGAGGCATTAAGTCCTCGGGAAGATAAGTTACAGCTCTGTCATTATACAAGAAATATTTCTGCACTGATAGTCATAACTCCTGGAGTTAGAAAATGTGCCAAATGTCAAACCAGTTGTTATATTTAAGTTTTGGAGCTTTCAGAAATGTTGAAAATGTGGCAGAGCACTGTGAGGAGTCCTCATTCATTCATTCATTCATTCGTTCGTTCGTTCCACATTTCATACTCATTAGCTTATACCATGAATATGTATTGTGCACCAATTATGTGCTAGGTGTGTTTTAGATTAAGGAAGACAGAGAACAAACCCATCTCTACCCTTATAAAACTTATATATCAGCAGGGGAGGCTAAAAATAAATAAATGAGTAATAAACGTGTGATATTTGGTAATGTTAAATGCTGTAAAGAAAATAAACTGGGAGAAGGGGATACAGAGTAAAAAGTATTTTTTTAACACATAAGATTATTTTTAAAACTTTTTGTTGTGACATAATTGTAGATTCACAAACAATTGCTAGAAATAATACAAAAAGATCCAAAAAGCCTTCATCCAGTGTATTAGTCCATTCTCATGCTGCTAATAAAGACATACCTGAGAATGGGTAATTATAAAGGAAGAGGTTTAACAGACTCACAGTTCCACAATCGTGGTGGAAGATGAAGGAAGAGCAAAGGGATGTCTTAGACGATGGTAGGCAAGAGAACTTAAGCAGGGGAAATCCAATTTATAAAACCATCAGATCTCATGAGACTTATTCACTACCATGCGAACAGTATGAACTGCCCCCATGATTCAATTATCTCCACCTGGCCCTGCCCCTGACATGTGGGGATTATTACAATTCAAGGTGAGATTTAGGTGAGGACACAGCCAAACCATATCACCCAGTGTTCCCCAAAAGTAATATATTCTTTTTTTTTTTTTTTTTTTTTTTTGAGGTGGAGTTTCATTCTTGTTGCCCAGGCTGGAGTGCAATGGTGCAATCTTGGCTCACTGCAACCTTCACCTCCCGGGTTCAAGTTATTCTCCTGCCTCAGGCTCCTGAGTAGCTGGGATTACAGGCATGCGCCACTACGCCTGGCTAATTTTTTGCATTTATAGTAGAGATGGGGTTTCTCCATGTTAGTCAGGCTGGTCTTGAACTCCTGACCTCAGGTGATCCTCCCACCTCGGCCTCCCAGCTCATGCTGGGATTACAGACATGAGCCACCATGCCTGGCCAATAGTAATATATTCTATAACTGTGGTAATATATCACTGCTGGGAAATTAAGATTGATAAAACCCATTGACCTTATTCAGATTTTACAAGTTTTATGTACACTCATGTGTGTTGGTGTGTGTTAGTTGTATGCAGTTTTATCACATGTGTCATATGTGTGAAGCCACCAGAGTCAAGATGCAAGACAGTTCCCTCCCAAGGATCCCTTGTGCTGCTCCTCCATAGCCACAGCCACCTCCCTGCCTCCTGCTCTCCCTAAGCCCTGTCAACCACTACCCTGTCTCACCTATAATTTTGTGATTTCAACAATGCTATATGTCAGTCACCTTTTGTTTTCCCCACTCAGCATAATTCCCTTGAGATAATCCGAGTCGTTTCTTTTTATTGGTGCATAGTATTCCCTGGTGTGGATATACCACAGTTCGTTTCACCATTCACCCATTGAAGGACTGACCGTTGGGATGTTTCCGGTTTGGGGCTATTATGAATAAAGATGCTGTGAACATTCATGTTCAGGTTTTTCTGTGAATATGGTTTCATTTCTCTGGGACAAATGCCTAAGAGTGAATTGCTGGGTTGGGTAGTAAGCACGTATTTAGTTTTGTAAGAAACTGCCAAGCTTCTTGTTCAGAGTGGCTGGACCATTTTGCATTCCCCTGAGCAGTATGTGTATGATCTCTGCATCCTTGTGTGTATGATCTCTGAATCCTTGTGTGTATGATCTCTGCATCCTTGCCAGCATTTGATGCTATTCATATTTTTTATTTTAGTCATTCTGAGAGGGGTCTAATAACATCTCATTGCAGTACAAATAAGATGTGATGTTTCGAAATAAATGCAGTCTTTCAAAGCAGTCTCTGTAGGGGTTATACAGTCATAAATATTGCCATCTCTGAGAGTGACTCCAAAGTTTCTTTGAGGGTTCAGAGCCTGTTTTATCCAAATGACCCATAACAAAGGACAATAGGTAGATGAATGTACACCCCACAGTTGCGAATGGCAGACAGTGCTGTCTTCGAACCCCATGAGAGCCCAAGGAGCTGGAGAGCTGCTGATCTGCTGCTATTTCATTGTATTAGTCAGAATAGACCAGTAACAATCAGCTCCCTAGTCTCAGTGGCTCGGGACCACTAAGGTTTATTTCTCATTCATGCTACATCTCAGTTGAAAGTTGGATCAAACATTGAAAGGTTCTGCTCAGCTAAGGGCCTAAGGCTGATGTTGAAGCCACCATCTCCAACATTTCTGGTCCATGCAGAGGGACAGAGGAAAAGAGAAAGATGTTTCTAAAACATCGCACATGGCTTCAACCAGCTAAAGAGAGTGGGGCGGTGCAGCCCTACCATGTGTGTTGAAAGTGAAAAGCCAGAAATATTTATTGATCAGCATTAGCATGAGCCCCACACAGCTGTGGGAAAAGGAGCAGACGAGCACAGGTAGGTTAATAACACAAAATGATCAGTCTCATTGCTTCAGAACCATACCTTGTTTTTACTTTCAATAGTATTACACAATCTTAGCAGGCTGGGCTCTAAGTGTTTTTTTTTTTTTTAAATCTTTTTTTATTGTGAAAATTAAATTTAACCTTAAAGAGGCAAAAGTTGCAGTTCTGAACTTGTTAAAACTAGTGCAAATGTAGTCCCAAAGAAGACATATTAAAAATGTTCCCAGTAGTTTCAGCATCACTGGATTTGCTGACCAACCTCACATAGCTCCTGTGTTGAGCGGACAGCTTACGATTTGGCCTTGAGCTCTGTGCCTGCTTGTTAAAGATCTTCACATTCCTACAGGACTTCGTTGCCTTGACTTGTCAAGCCTGAATTGCGTTTCTGTATCTGCTTTTCTAATTAAGGAATCTGATGCTCTCCCCACACCCCCCCCCCACTTTTAAAATAACTATTGGGATATAGAAATACCTTTTTTCAACTAGGATTGAAGTCCTTTGAGCCAGGAGTCAAGTGTAGTGTTTGCACATGATAGATACACAGGGAGTCTAAGTTGCTGACTCTGGTGTTAAAATGCCTGTGTGACCTGGAAAGGTGCCCCATAGACAATTGTGATGACTCAGGGTTGGGAATTGTCCTGACCCAGTAGGGTCCAGAGCAGCGCACCAGCTGCAGAGGCAGCCCGGGCGTCTTTTCTTGTTTATAGAGTGAATGGCTTCAGTTTTGAGGGTCAGCTGCTGCCCTTTTGACAGCCTCCACTTTTTCCAGTCCTTTGCACCCCACCAAGTTTATTTCCTCTCCCTTCCAACCAGCCTGGCCCTGCTTATATCCAAAAATGCTAGTTTCCCAGTAACACGAGTAGCTGCCATTTCTTGAACGATCCTTTGTAGGTATTTCTCATGTGGTGGTGTTTCTATACAATCCTGCAAGGTAAGTCCCTGTTTACCAGTGAGGAAATTG